GTGTATGCATATATATGTATATATATATATATATATATATATATATATATATATATATATATATATATATATATATATATATATATATATATATATATGTATATATATATATATATATGTATATATATATATATATAATATATATATATATATATATATATATATATATATATATATTTGATATATATATATATATATATATATATATATATATATATATATATATATATATATATATATATACACATACATATGTATATGTGCATATATATACATATATATACATATATATACATATATATACATATATATACAAATATATATATATATATATATATATATATATATATATATATATATATATATATATATATATATATATATATATATATATAAGCACGTAAGTGTGTGTGTGTGTTTTTTTTTGTCAGCCTTTACGTCAAAAGGTGTCTCCCCTGCGTTCACCGGGCAGTGCGCACGTGCGCTGCGCGCTAAAATCAAGTGAATGGTCGACGTGATAAAACATTTCACGAGTCGTTGCGTGGCGCACGAGGCTTTGTAATTTAAACAACCAAAATGACCGCCAACTAAGAGCCTCAAAAGTACATCTGTTGGAACTGCGACATATGTTTCATATTACCTTTCTATCTTTATTAGTCATTAATGTGTGTGATACAGAAGTCGAGTACATCGGCTTCTAGCTTTTTCTTGCAGTCTCAATCAGGAAAGTAATTCATTTCTCCTTCGACAATGGCAAGGGAAGTTGGTATAATCAGCTCTCAGGAGCATTTTTCACCTTGCGGCTTGAATCAAACGCACAGTAAATGCTCAAGTGAACGCAGGGTCTGAAATTATTATAATTAAGGATCATATTTTTATGCACCTATTCATTATGTCGTGATAGCATGTTGACTGTCCAGTATATTTTATATTACGACTGAGCAGTGATCGGTTTATAATCAGTATCATTTCAAAGGTTGGATGTATATTTATATTTTGGTGGACACAGTATTTTTACAGAACCAAATATGTATAATGTGTACTAAAACATGGTCAAGGTTTAGTTTCATCGGTCAGGCAAGACGCATTTTCAAGTTTCCGTATTTTATTATTATTATTATTATTATTGTGATACGGTACAAACAAACAGAATTATTCGAGGAGCTACCATATATTTTGAGACTATGGCTATGTGCAAATTCTGAGATTAAAAAAAGTATTTAGTATCCCCTTAAAATATTTTAGGACATTCATTTTCTGTCAAATAGTAAATAGTGTGATTAAAGAGTCCAGACTTAATTGAAAATGATTCAGTGTATGAATCTTTTTTAAAAATTCCAATATTTGGATAGCCCTTATGAAGTAATAGTGAGTTTTAGCAAAATCACAAGAGTTCTACCTGTATAAATGTGAAGATACATTTTCTATCTATACTTTATGCGGGGAGACTCAACCAAACCTGACACACTTGCCTGTTATAGTGATCTTAGTGCATTGTTACCAATTATTGTTTTTATTTCTAAATGTGTATTTTTGGATACTACCATTTCCTGCCATGGTGAACTACAGAGGCACAAAAATGTCTGTAGTTTATAAATGTATTTTGTGTACTAAATGTTTGTACTCAAGCCGTGACTATTCTATGAATCGTGTACTTTCAGCGGTACTTTCGAAGAATAAAATATTTGTGATTATGGTTAATCGTTTCCTTGTTTCCCGATACTTTTCATAATTTTCAAAATTTCTGATGGTATGAGATACTGAACCAATTGAAATAAAATACTTGCCTATGGTATTGGAGCGATGGACGGATATAATTGATAAAAACACTGTTACTTTTCTAAGTAATTGGAAGAACCTCTTTAAAATAAATACTTCAAATAATTCAGGTCCAAACATATAAATACAAAAATAAAGCTGAATTATTATGGTTATTTCCTCTTCATAATAAGGTCCACAGCTATACATGAATTTGTGGGCACAATCACCGAAACACCCACTACTTCTCCCGTGAGACACTCCTGCCTCGCACTGGCCAGTAGCACTTGATCTTTCATTAGGCCTTAATGCAGACACTATCACACTTGTGTCAACACATCCTCAGTTCCACGTCTTTTGACACCACTGTAGCCACCTTTTTTCCCTCTGCTCCAGTCCTCTTTGTCTTCTCACTCTCGTCCCAAGAGCGTCTGATGAGTTCTCTGCTCTGCTTTCACTGTTGTGGCAAGAGCGTCAGCAGGACTCTAGCACTGCTCAAACAGGCACATCAGCAGGGTCTTTCCTTGGTGACCACGTTATCCGCTTCTTTCCTTTCTATCCTCTATCACTCTTCCTCTTTCTCCGACTTCGTCTAGGCTACACTAATTCTTCCTTCAGCTCTGTAGGGTCATCCCACTCGGCCCTTCCGCCTGTATTCCAACCAGCTACGCTAAAATACGAGTTCAAAAGCTCCTGCCGAAACGTTCTTGTCAAATTCGGATTACGCTATGCGAACGGTCCGTGCGTGTAGTAGTACTAATGATTATGAAAGGCGTAACATGGAAAATATTATAAAAGGATCAAATGAAATTGTATAAATCTAAATTGTATAAATCACGACTGGAGTGGGCGATTTCACTAGCTAGCCAGAAATTTTGGGGATGTTTTTTGTAAAGCTGATCCATATAACAGTTCTGGCATGATGGGAGGAAAGCACTGATTATGTACACGCACACACACACACACACACACACACACACACACACGCACACACACACACACACATATACATATATATATATATATATATATACATATATATATATATATATATATATATATATATATATATATATATATATATATATATATATATATATAAACAAGAATGGAATCCAGATGGATTCCGAAACTGTCGTCTCATTTTCAATAAATCTAGTTTTTACATTGTGGGTTTTTCTACCATAGTATCAACACAGTAGAGTGTTCTCTTCATTCATATATATATATATATATATATATATATATATATATATATATATATATATATATATATATATATATATATATATATATATATAATTGGACACGATGGACACATGGGCAAATGAATATACGAATTATGAATGACGCTTGTCCCCGTGTGAAGAAGGTGAGGAGGGATATGGAGGAGCCGCTGGACTTAATGAGACACCAGTTGGCAGCAGGGAAACAGATGGCCATGCTTGTAGGTGCCTCAGTATCAAAGCGGGAGGAGGCATTGGTCGAATGCATTGCTAAACCATGGGCTGCACAGAAACAGCCCACCAGAAGTGGCGTCACCTCCCTGGTCTCAACAGCACGTAGATGAAGGGCAAGGGGGTGTAAAAAGTATTTAGAGGACCTTTAAACATTGGTTATGCAGGAGTAGTAATAGTGGTATTCTGGCTTGACAACACAGATATGGTAACACACGAGACGAGGTAACACACGAGACGAGTCTTGGGTAAGCGCTGAGTGCAGGAGGTCGCGGTCGCGGTCGCCCTGTCGACGAGCGCTGGGCACGAACTCTTTAAACCCGGGTCATCCTTGGCCATATATAGCCAGCGTCCACCGGAACGCGGCGTGGGGACGCCAGCTGAGGCGATGGTTCTCTCCTGGACCTCGAGCCACGTGGCAAGCAAGCAGCCACGCGGTCCTATCGTGCATATGTACACGGTATATTGCTCGGCCACACCCCACTAATGCCTCGCCCTCGAGGCGCCTTAGATTTGCCTCAAGGGTGCCCAACTTGGCTGGTCCTGACTAGCTAGTCACTTCGTTCTCGCGTGCGTTGTCCTTGGTGCATCTTCGTGGCTGCTCGTCCTTGTCATCATCTTCATCCTGGTCCTTGGTAAATCCGTCTATCCTCGATGTCCACAGGTCCTCCTTGACTCCGGATTCGTCCAGACTTCCTCGTAGGCCTCGTCCAGGCCTAACTCGGCGGCGTACTCACCCAATGGACGTCCCTGTAGATCTCGTTCAGGTCCTCCTCGGCTCGTACAGACGTCCTCGTAATCTTCGTCAGGATCTACGGGCGTCTGGGCAGGAAGCGTCCTCCTCGGCATCTCAGGGCGGCTGATACCTGCGCTGACAAGCTCCTGGAGTTTGACCGGATCTGCGGGCATCCAGGCAGGCGGCGCCCGTCCACAGCATCATAGGTCGACTGGTACCTGTGCTGGCGAGTTCCTGGTCCTACGGGCGTCCTGGCAGGCGGCGCCCTTCCACATCCTGGGGCGGCTTAATACCTGCTCTGACGAACATCCTGGTCTCCAGGCTTCTGGCAATCTTCCGGTGACGTCCTTCCATAGCATCATGATACCAGCTGGGAGCTACCCAAACATGCCAGCGATGTCTAGGGGGTGAGCAGGGGGTGATTAATAAGTGAATAATGACTCTAGCTTAAACCCTAGTCCTACATTAGTTTAACATATGTAATTGTGGGTCACACCGACTCAAAAGTTGCCGAACGTACAAATAACTTCGGTTATACCTACCTACTGTCATTGCGTCGGAGTGTAGATCTATTAGGTATATACGCAACCCCAGGGTAATCGGCATTCTGTGCACTATGATATGGGGAAAATACTAACACTATACTCAAAATAATAAATGTATATAAATTGCGTTACATGATCTGTTCTAGTGCCGATAGAACGTGTTGCCAATGAACATGTAACGATTGCTACGCTGTATCCCTATGTTGTAACCAAATATAGAAAACAATTAATGGGAACGGCGAGCTGTTTATCAGCCATTTCAATGTGTCAATCACCCGAAGTGAAAGTGAGGTCAGATCACCCAGCTGTTCAGGCGGTGTAATGACTGTCACTCTGAGGTCAGGTCAAGACAGGAAATGCGCCATGAGAAAAGAAATAAATGAAATGATATTTGCGAAAAATGATAAAATCACGAACGCGCTAAATTCATTGCAATTGAAATAATATAACTCTCTAATCACGAGAAAGATTAAATAGATACTTAATAATGAACAATACATATAT